TATATCCCTCGCTACAATAATATCGGATCTTAGCCGCACTAATCGGCAACGAGCAGAGGGGAATCGTTTCTAGCCCGGCAATAACTACTGTGCAAATCATGTGAGTCCTAATTGTGTATTTTCGTTAGTATTACATAACGATCAGATATGCGCTCGTGTATATCCCACACGCACACACACACAAAAGGGGGTGATCCTAAATAAGGGAAAGGATTTTCTGGAGTTTAAGATTTGGATAGCAACTTTTGTCCAGCTACAGAACGGTGGTCATTGTGCGTGCGTGTGGCTACAAAGGCGCAGCTCTGCAATGTCTTGTTTCACTGCTCGCGGAAGGGGGTATCCACTTTACAGAGACTACAGCTAATGAATGTACACACACACACAGGCTAAAAAACATCCCGGCGTCTGTAAATAAACACTGCCCTACATCGCAACGCATATCACGCTGACGTTTCGGACAACGTACCTCCTTCAGAGCAAGGGCATCAATTCCACTCCAACATCAACCGTGATTATTAACACTGCTGTAACTGAACCGCAGACGGATCAATTGTCCTAAATCAACGTTGTTGGTGCAATGGTTGATTTCGGAACGATGGCTCTTCTCGTTTGTTCTGAACAAAGGCCAATTCCCGAAACGTTATCTAAATAGCGCCTACATGTGTATTTCGTAAGGAAGTGTGGGAGTAAGGATCACGGTGGTGCTGTGGTGTCTTCTGCAAGCAACGTGGACCCCCGGTACGAATGAATTCCCGAGGTATGCACGTGTGTGTACGTATGCACGTGTGTACGTACGTGGTTACATGAGTGCGAGTTGATGTGTGCGTATATTCGTGTGTCCATGCGTGTATGCATGGATGTACGTGTTGGGTTTGTGACTATGTTTACGTATGTCCGTGTGTACGTATGTGTGCAGTATGCGTGTGTGTACACACGTACGTGTGTATGTATGTGTCTTTGTTTGCGTGTTTGCCTTTGGTATGTGTGTGATATGTTGTGTGTCTGTGTGTATGTGTGTAACATGTACATGTGACTACGAGTGTCCATGTGTGTACGAATGTGTGTGAGCCGTACGTATGTATGCTTGGGGGTATGCATGCATCAGTGTGCTTTGTATTTACTGGATGTGTGTATATATATATGTTTTAATATCTATATATCTATAAACTACTAAATACGATAGTGAGTATGCTGTAGATTTGTGTGTGTGTGTGCTTACGTGTACTGTATGTGTATATATGTGCAGCTTCATAGGTGCTCGCGAACAGCACTTGCCCCAACAGTCTGTTAGAGGTTATATGGGGGATCTTTGTATTGTGTATATATGTGAGCGGGTGTGTATTTGTATGTGTATTGATATGCATGTATATGGATGTGCATTAGTATGTGTATGCGTGTACATCTGTGTATACAAATGCTGAAATGTTTGTACATGTGTGTATATGATGTGTAAATGCGTGTATACACGTGGTACTCTATGAATGATAGTGTGAATACATACTGTGGCTGAGTACATGTAAGTACTGTATACATGTTTATTTGTACAAATGTGTATGTAAACATGTGCCTATTTCGTGCATATGCATGTATATATGAGCGTGTAAAGTGTGTGTCCGTGTATTTGTAAAGAGCATGCATGTGTAAGTGTACACGTGCATATGAATACGATTCTACACGTGTGTTCGTATATGCGTAAGCGTAAATTGTATTAAGCATGTGTATAAGTATAACAGTCCACGTATGTGCATTACTCTGTATTCGTGTAAATGTTCGAACACGTGTAGAATACGCAGACGTGTACGCGCACACGTAAGGTGTACACGTGTAAGCACACGTGCATGTGAATGTGTGTACGTACACGTGCGCGTACACACCATGCGTGCAAACGTGTGTGTGAGGTCGTCTATTCGTACATGCGAGGTGTAAACATACAATGCTGCACACGTGTGTGTAGATGTGTGTGAGCGCACGTGCACGAGTAGAAACGTGCACGTCGATACGTGCCTGCATATGCAAGTCTGAGTATATATACATGCAAACACATTGTGCATGTACACGTGTGCGTGTAATACGTATACATACACTGGTAGGTAGGTGTACATGCTAGCCACCCAACCCCTCGTGTGCCTTGCCGGCCTTCATAGGTGCTCGCTAACAGCAGTTGCCCCTACAGTCTGTTAAGGCTACACGGGGGATCTTTGTCTTTGTAACACGTGCACGCACAGGTAGGTACAGGTAGGCGTTCGCATAGTAAACCTTGCCGTGCAGAATTCGCGTTTTCCCCTCTGCTTCGCCGAATTTTCCTGGGAATGATTTCATTTGTAGGCGGCGCTACCTCTGAAAAAGCTTTCACGACCACCTCCCCAATCTCTCCCCTCTCCTCTCTCTCTCTCCTCGTGCGAGCATGGACGGCTACTCAGACCACCACCACCACTACTGAACATCCCTCCCCTGTCCAAGTCTCAACAACCCTAGCCAGGGGCAGTGGGGAAGAAGGGCAGCTTGCGGGTGATAGAGCAAAAGAGATAGAGAGGAGAGGTGAGGCAGTAGCTCCACTGACAGAGAGTGGGAGAGAGAAGGGGTCTGTGTGTGTGTGGGGGTACAGCGAGAGAAACGACTTGTGGGAAACTGCAGCCTTAGCGTGTATGTGTGTGAGTGTGTGTATGTGTGTGTATGTGTGTGTGTGTAAGTGTATGGGTGTGTGTAAGTGTATGTGTGTAAGTGTGTGTGTACGTGTATGCGTGTGTGTGTGTGTAAATGTGTATATGTGTACGTATGTGTACGTGTGTGTGTAAGTGTGTGTGTAAGTGTGTGTGTAAGTGTGTGTGTGTGTAAGTGTGTGTGTACGTGTATGCGTGTAAGTGTGTGTGTAAATGTGTATATATGTACGTATGTGTACGTGTGTGTGTAAGTGTGTGTGTAAGTGTGTGTGTAAGAGTGTAAGTGTGTGTGTACGTGTATGCGTGTAAGTGTGTGTGTAAATGTGTATATGTGTACGTATATGTACGTGTGTGTGTAAGTGTGTGTGTAAGTGTGTGTGTGTAAGTGTGTGTGTGTAAGTGTGTGTGTGTGTAAGTGTGTGTGTGTGTACGTGTGTGTGTAAGTGGCCTGCCCAGCCACCGCATGCCTAAACAGCTTTTGTTCGGCCGGATCGAGGGGGCTAGACGGGCGCGGCACGGGCTGGAGAAGAGATGGAGTGATGTGGTACAGGAGGACGTGGAGCTGAGTGGACTTGCCGATGACTGGTACCAGCGGTGTCAAGATCGGCCTCAGTGGAGGAGGCTCGTGAAGGACGCTACTGGGCAGTTGGAGGCAGTCGCCTTACAACAACAACGGAGGGCGGAGGAGCGACGCTCACAACAACGAGCGGAGCGCCGGGTGGCTAAAGCACAGCAAGTTGGCACAGTAGGGGGCACAGGTGGTGCATCAGCCAGTCATCTCGGTCATCTCGGTCAGTCGACCCGTGGCACCTGCTGGGTCTGCCCCGTGACCTCCTGCCAGCGGGCTTTCGACACTTCACGTGGCCTCAAGGTGCACTTGGCCTGGCACAAGCATCGTGGTGACGTCACCGCCACTTAGTGGCGAATGGCGGTTGTTGTTGTTGTTGTATGTATGTAAGTGTGTAAGTGTGTATGTGTGTAAGTGTGTATGTGTGTGTAAGTGTGTGTATGTATGTAAGTGTGTGTGTGTATGTGTGTAAGCGTGTAAGTGTGTGTGTATGTAAGTGTGTGTGTATGTAAGTGTGTATGTGTGTGTGTAAGTGTATGTGTGTGTATGTAAGTGTGTAAGTGTGTATGTGTGTAAGTGTGTATGTGTGTAAGTGTGTGTGTGTAAGTGTGTGTATGTAAGTGTGTATGTGTGTAAGTGTGTATGTGTGTGTGATTTGCTCGCAAAAGCGAGCCCACCAACCCCTCCCTCCCACCCCCCATCCCCCCCCCAACCCCCCCCCCCCCCACCCGGTCATTCTGTACATCCCCGCCTCCCGTTCCCACCACGTACAAAGAGACCACCGGGCAAATAATCATAATCAATAATCGTGGTAGAAATCAAAACACGAATATCACAGCGAGAGAGCGAGCGAGAGAGGGTCCGAGAGGCGACATCAGAGCGCGCAGTGAAACCAGAGAGAGAGTGGTGGTGGTGGGAGAGAGAGAGAGTGGTGGTGGTGGTGGAGAGTGGTGGTGGTGGAGAGTGGTGGTGGTGGTAGAGAGTGGTGGTGGTAGAGAGTGGTGGTGGTAGAGAGTGGTGGTGGTGGAGAGTGGTGGTGGTGGAGAGAGTGGTGGTGGTAGAGAGAGAGAGAGTGGTGGTGGAGAGAGAGAGTGGTGGTGGTGGAGAGTGGTGGTGGTAGAGAGTGGTGGTGGAGAGTGGTGGTGGTGGTGGTGGAGAGTGGTGGTGGTAGAGAGTGGTGGTGGAGAGTGGTGGTGGAGAGAGAGAGTGGTGGTGGTGGAGAGTGGTGGTGGTAGAGAGTGGTGGTGGAGAGTGGTGGTGGTGGTGGTAGAGAGTGGTGGTGGTGGAGAGCGGTGGTGGTAGAGAGTGGTGGTGGAGAGTGGTGGTGGAGGTGGTAGAGAGTGGTGGTGGTGGAGAGTGGTGGTGGAGAGTGGTGGTGGTAGAGAGTGGTGGTGGAGAGTGGTGGTGGTGGTGGTAGAGAGTCGTGGTGGTGGAGAGTGGTGGTGGTAGAGAGTGGTGGTGGTGGAGAGTGGTGGTGGAGAGTGGTGGTGGTAGAGAGTGGTGGTGGAGAGTGGTGGTGGTGGTGGTAGAGAGTCGTGGTGGTGGAGGGTGGTGGTGGTAGAGAGTGGTGGTGGTGGAGAGTGGTGGTGGAGAGTGGTGGTGGTAGAGAGTGGTGGTGGAGAGTGGTGGTGGTGGTAGAGAGTGGTGGTGGTGGAGAGTGGTGGTGGTAGAGAGAGAGAGTGGTGGTAGTAGTGGTGGTGGGGGGTGCATTGAGAGAGCGAGAGAGAGAGGAGAGAGGGAGAGCGGGAAGTGGGGAGAGTGTGAGAAGAGAGGAGAGAGAGAGAGAGGTGGGGGAGGAGGAGGAGGAGGACAGAGAGAGCACACACACACACACTCTCTCTCGACTGCTTGACTCGGACCATCACCAGCACCAGGAGGACAAGACTGCAAGCCACAATGAACAAGCTTTACATCGGCAACCTCAGCGAGAACGTCTCGCCGGCGGAACTGGAGTCGCTGTTCAGCGAGAAGAAGATCCCGGTGTCGGGGCAGTTTCTGGTGAAGGGTGGCTACGCGTTTGTGGATTGTACGGACGAACAGTGGGCGATGAAAGCTATTGACGCCCTGTCTGGTAGGTGCCGTGTCTTCTTCACGTGTTTGAATGTCATCCCACCCCTTGGCTTGACTTCATCAATTGTTGTAATAGCTGCTATGTATCTGGAGCCAGTCACACCGGGGCATATGCACTGAATGTTATAGAAACGCGTAATTTCCCCTCTCTCCTCCCCCACAACGTAAACGTGTCTGTGTGTAATACGCACGTTTGTCTGTATACCTGGCCTTAACAGATGCTTATTCATGTTCGACGTAAGAATATGTCGCTGTGTGTGTATCTAACGAAATAATGGCAACTCGTCACTTACGTACAACACAGGGTTATTCATAATGCCATCTGGGGGGGGGGGGGGGGTGTGGTGTGGTGGTGATGGGGGGCACTAAAGGAACGAGTGGTGGGAAACGCGAAGAGGACTTTGTTTGGTTGCATCACAACGGAGGGGTGAATGATGAATGGGGAGAAACAGCGACCGAGATGACAGAGTTCGTAGAGAAATTTGATTAAAAAATTTGTATCTTCTTCTGTCGCTATCCGCGCTACCAAACGCACGTGGCGGTCCGTGTAACCCTCCCCAACTTTAACGTGGAAATGTCCACACTCTTAAACACGCCGGGGTCACAGAGTATAATATAATAAGTACCTAAACAAATGAGAGAGGTTCCCCACGTGTATCCTTTTAAAAGATAATGTTGGGGGGCAAGTGCTGTTTGCGAGCACCTATGAAGGCCGACACCGTTGCACGAAGGGGGGCTGGGCCAACACTTCTCCCGGCCGCCTTTATCTCCCTAGAAGCCGACGTTAACACACCGACGATAATCGATCTTCGCCACAATCAAGTTCGTATATTGAACATTGGTCGCAAGCGGGAATCGAACCCAGGTGGCTGGGTTCGAAGCTCCGTGCGCTAAACAGTACACTCCCGGTCCTAAATGTACGTAGGTCGATGCACACACACACACACACGCACATACGCACACGTGTGTCGGTCCTGTACACACGTGTGTATCGTGGACATATGACAGCTGTAGATTGTTACGCTATATGATGGTGGTATAGCAGCTCTCTCCGATAGGTTTTTCGGGGTCGTACCGCGACGCGCGTGTTGTGCGATCTGCGTGTCCGACGTTTCGCACCACGCGCTGGGAGCTTCTCAAGTAAGGGGGGGGGGGGTTGGTGGCGGGGAGAGGGGAACTTAAAGTTGTATTAAAAACGTCGAAACAAGCCGAATAACCACACGGCATCGGTAACGCTTCTGTAGAATAACCTTGGTGCACTCTCCCGTGCAAATGTCGTGTGCACGTGATAGCAACGTGCACGACGGATGTCCCCGAATCTTCATCGTTCAAGGTTGTTTCATTTGCCTTGGTGTTCCCGTCACGATGTCGGGAGTCTTTCGTAAAGTTTATTTGGAAGATGGAATGAAAATGCCGTCTTTGGGCCAAAACTTGTCGAGGAGGGGTGGGACAGAGCGTGGCGTAACGACCAGCGAAGCGAGAGATCGCGTTCTGTTTAAGGCCCTATATACTAAGCCGATAATGATTCATATCGACGATGACGGCGGTAGAACAGCAACGATAAACTCACACACACACGTGTGTTTTCATCATTATAACATTCTTATTTACGTCGAAGAGTGTTAGCCAAAAGAAAGGGTTCGTGCTGCTATTACAGTGCACGGTGACGGTCGTCTAAGACGCCTTAGACGACCGTGAGATTCGCTGTTTCACGCCTAAGACAACGCGAACCAAAGCCACACGTCCTACGAATCGAGAAATTTGGCCAAACAAGCTAGGCAAGAAACAACATCTTCAACAACATCAACAACATCAACATTAACAAAATAGGATAGGTCTCGAGGCTTGTGTTGAAGAGCCTCCGCCGCAATGGTGAACGACACAAAGATGATTCGTGTTAGCCGTATTTAAATGCACAATTTTACAAAACGCTTCTGCAAACTCTTACACACAAGCACACACGATTGGTACACGCATATACGTGTGAACGTGAGCCACCAAACGCTGTATGTACCCAGAAATATTTTTGTTAATTGCTGGAAGGAACTAATAACATTTTATATATATAGGGGCCTTTATGTAATTGCGCGCGTTGTACATTTTGTCAACAATTTGATTTATCCATCAAAATTATTCACGCGGTAAAAGTCAACAAAACCCACACCATACCCACGCCATAGTATTAAAACCCACACCATAGTTTTACCATGCGTAGACCCCAATAGTGTAGTAGTTTACACGCTAGAGTTACGTCATCCACCCCCCCTTCCAACCTCTATAATGTTTAAAAGCACTTTGCCACAACTGTGTCAAAAAGATGCAAACACAACACTGCAATGTTTAGTTCACGGCCGTATTCGCATTGTTACATATGGTGTATGTAAACATTGTGCCTTGTATATTCATTAAAGTAATATGTTCATGGTAGTCAAACGCCTGCTCATATTCAAAGCCTTTTGTCAATTCACTCCTGAATGAAGAAGGCCTTCCCCACGCCGTGTCGGTCATGCGTGTTGTTTGACCATACTTCACCACGCTCATCAGTGAAGTGGTTGGTGGTGGTGGTGATGATGATTTGAAACAGCACCGCGATTCAGACAAATGCACACGTGTACATGTACATCGGCTCTTTTGTTTGTGAACCGCTGGACTTTATGAATGAGGGCCTCGCTGTGGCGTACGGGCAACGTGGTGTGTGTGACCACTCTGGTCAATGTGTTGCGTCGGGGTTACTGAAGTCTTTTTCAGAGGTGCAACGTTCACGGAACTAGTGGACGTGGGCCCTGTCCTGCCAAGCACCCACTGCACGCCAATTCCATTGTGCATAATTCAACGCGTCCCTACTATAACCGCAGTACAATCACTGGTCTTGTTGGTGATCGTTAACGCTCAACTGCGCCGCACGTGCGTTTCAAACTCGTCCTAACGTTGTCTCTCTCGGTGAATTGTAGGTTCTCGTACCTGTGTTTTTAATTCCGTCCCCTCTCCCCACCCTTTCCCTTCTCGTAGGAAAAGTCGAAATCCACGGGAAATTAATCGAAGTTGAGCACTCGGTTCCTAAAACGCAAAGGTATGGAGCGCGTGAATTGTTTATTTCACTCATGTCCCAATGCATACTTGATACATAAAAGCATGGGTTTAATGGCTCAATCGATATTTCCTGGGTCGCTGATTGGGCTGGAGAGTAGGTGGTACGTGACTAGTAGCCGCAGCGAGATGGATACTGGATGCGGTGTGCCGGATGCAGAAATATTTTCACTGACCCGGATGGAAATAAACTCTGCAGAACAAGACAATTGGCTCTCTGTCCCAATGAGCACTACAGGTATGGCCTGTAACCTATTGAAAAGTCCACATTCTCACGGCGAGGGTCAGACTATCCATAGGTCCACCGCTGTTGACTTTTCCAAAAAGCGGTTGTTTTATCGACCCCGGAGGTATGATTGGCTCAGAACTCGCAATCTTAAGATTGAGTCCAACGCTCTAGCCACTGCGACAAGATTGATTGATAGTGGACATTGAGAAAAGTTTTATGAAGACTGCTTTCATCATCTACTGCTGGATGGAGTTATAAAAATACAAACTTTTAAAATTGTGTTGGGAAGAAGATAGCTTTCAAATCAAAATACACGCAACTGATGTGCACACTTTACTCGGCCGTGCCAAACATTGTCTAGGTGATGCGTCAGAGGTACCCGACCTAAACTACAGGCCTCGCTATTCGCTACGGGCACCCACTTAGTGTTCCCCGCACTCACACTTTCAAATAAAAATATAAACTGCGCAACACGCTGCACGCGCCTGATGATTACGTAACGCACGTGCGCGTGTAACGGACAGGGCGCGGATTCAAATTAAAATAAGACATTAGGACCAGTATCTTAAAGAGAGGGTTCTTTGCCTGTTATTACATCTAGTAGTTCGATCATTGTTTAAAGAAAGTCTGACTGCTGATGCGACCCCGCATGCCGAAACCGGTCCAGTTTTGTTATTGAAGCAATGCTGCTGAGATGAAGCACTCCCAGAAGGCCTTGTTGTTGACGGGAAGTATAAAATAAATGCTTATATTTTTTTATATGGAGGGACATATGTTAAGGAGATACATACATATCCATCTTCTTGTTTGTTAAATTAAGGTGTAAGTTGATTGTACATGTGTGCGTTTGTGTTACACGTGACGGAGAGTTATGGTTCGTATCGGAGGTGTTGTGCATGTGGATATTCCACGTGAGCAAGAGAGGGCTGATTTAAATTAAGTTAGAGGGATTGTGCGCGTATGTAAGGTAGATATTCAGATTGTGAAATAGATCTTGTGTGTACCCCCAAGTGACGTTAGAAATCGCTGATTCAAATTCAATTGCAGCTCTCAAATCTCTGCGTCATTTGGAACGCGTTTAGCAATCATCAGGCGCGAGTAGCGACAACTCTTTGTAGTCGAATGGAAAAAAATTGGAACACGTGGAAGGGCATAAGGGGCTCGGGTGTGTCGTGAGGACCGGAGGTTCAAAAACCTTCTTCTCGCAGTGCAATTATTACAATTAAGCAACATTGCTAATTACAGCAGTTAGGCAGGGTGTAGGTGTTGTTTTGTGATGGTTCGACCTCTTGCGTACCGCGGTCACCGCCACCACGGTTCCAACCCCGGCCACGACCCACATCAAGTCACCGCCGGCCTGACATGAACCCGGCTCGACCTACGCCTACGTCGGCTCGGCCCTAAAACGTGCACCAACCCACGCGGTGGCGTGGGTATTGCATGGGGCTTGAGAGACAAAGGCATCTTCATCACGCGTGCGTGTGGTTGGTGGTGGTGTTGGTGGCTATCCTCTATGCCATTTGCTTCTCGTGTGTTACCCTACCGGCCTTAATAGGTGCTCGCTAACAACGCTTGACTCGTATACAAACCTGATGAGGACAACCGTGGTGTCTTTGGTTTGTTACACGTGTGTGTGTGTGAGTCTAAAGTCCTAAAATTATTTTATTTTCAACAGCTTCTTGGCTTACACCACCGCGGGACAGTTAAATGAGTGATTGTGTGACAGTCACCGGCGTACCGGGTTTAGATGCACACATCTAATTTATATACTAGTTTACAAACAACTAACGTGCTAAATATACAAAGGATTTGTAATACGCATATGTATATATATGCATAGCGCCGTGCGTGTGTGTATATATATATCTCAAAACCATAGCCCAAGAGCACACGTGGAGGGGGCCTTGCGAGGCATCTCGTGGTCGAGAATGAGACACTATTTGTGCACGTGTGGTGTTGTGTGTCTATGAACAATGTTCAATGCCTATGAACAATGTTCATAGACACACAACAATGTTCATAGACACACAATAGACATAGACATCACCGTCGTCGTGTTTTTGTTTTTGCGTGCGGCGTGAGATTTGCGAGGAGCGGTGGCGTTTGTGGTTAGCTTACTCGAGCTGACGACCCCCCCCCCCCCCCCCGGGGTCAGAAAAGCTGAGTTCGATTCCCACGGCAAATCGATCCCGCGGCGATTGCTTTATCACAACACCCCCCCCTCTAGGTCAGCTCGGCCTTAAATAAATTAATGCCCGGTGTGATGTGTAATATATTTTGTTTATAATCAGCATTTGGGATAGGAAGGCGGTTGTGGGTGCTCCGCTAATATAATTTATCCACCCCCCCCCCCTATACGCCGATATAATAGGGGATTCTTTTGTGCCGTGTACTCAATATGGATAGTACACAATGGCACAGACCTTGAGCTTACGTGCATAATATTAAATAGCGTATTATGACGAACGCAATATGTACACACTATGTGGATAGTGTGTGTACATGAGATTCACATCACGTTTGGTATTGTGGGGTCAACAATATGTGAGCGGTACGTGGTGAATGTGTGTACTCTATAGGATTAACAGACTGTTGGGGCAAGTGCTGTTAGGTAGACCCTTTTAAGGCCGGCATGGCACACGAGGAGTTTGGGTGCCGAGCAACCCTCCCGACCGCCTTTATCTCCCCTAGTGGCCTACGTTCACACACACACACACCGCACCAGGTAGTCATTTGAGGCTGAGTCGACCTACGGGAAGCTCCAACACTGGTTGAGATCTGTCACCGGCGTTGGTCGTGAGCGAGAATCCAACCCGGGTCACCGGCTTCGTAACGCGAGTGCGCTAACCACTACGCCACCGCTCCCTAACCCCAAATGTTATCCTAAAGAGATCCTCCATATAGCCTGAGCAGACTGTTGGGGCAACAGATTTGTACGTAACATGGGGACACACACACACATCCCCCTCGACGTACGGACACACGCACACTCAAATGTCAAATGTATACATTCAATATAGTGATGGGAGATATCGCTGATTTAGCATTTCGTACATTATACGGTAGTCGTATACATTTATGTAGAACATACACACGCACGTGTGTGTATGTGCATACACGTGCGTCTACATACATACAACACAGTGCCTGCATATACAACACAGAGATGCGTACACGCACGCCACACACGCTTTTGATGGACGGAAGAGAAAATGCTAATAACTTGAATGAGAAAGAGGAGCAATAGGGGTGTAGGGGTGCGCATTTGGATGGGTTAATGTATCTCATGTGCGTGTGTGGATGCACGATTCACGTTTTTACGTTTGGTAGGAAAATATTCGCGAATGTTCGACGGTTGGTGGTGGTGACCGCGGCCGTCACGTTTAGTGATGGTGATGCTGATGGTGATGCCGATGGTGATTGTGTTTGGGTTGTTGATCGTGGTGGTGATGGTGTAGGTTACGGTGGTGGTGGTGGAGGTTACGGTGGTGATGGTGTGGATATAATGGGTGGTGTTGGTCGTGGTGGTTGCGATGTAGGGTGATGGTGGTTACGGTGATTGTGATGGTCGTGGTGGTAGTGATTGTTGTCTTCTCGGTGTTGGTGTGTTGGTTGTGTTGGTTGTAAGTGGTGGTGTTGTGTCAGTGTTGTTAGGTGGTGATTGTGTGGATTTAATGGGTGGTGTTAGTCGTGGTGGTTGCGATGTAGGGTGATGGCGGTTACGGTGATTTTGGTTTTTGGTGGTGTGGTGATTGTGATGGTCGTGGTGGTAGTGATTGTTGTCTTCTCGGTGTTGGTGTGTTGGTTGTGCTGGTTGTAAGTGGTGGTGTAGCTGTTGATATGATGCATATCAAGGTGATTGTTGTTGATCGTACGTATTACTACCAATAATGTTAATCGTTCCAGCGATGGTGTGGTGCGTTTGTTGTAGACGATGACGTTGATAGTAATGATGATGGTCATCTTGGTGATTTTAATTTAAACTGTGCTGGTAATTGGTGATGATGGTGGTGCTGTGGATGCTTATGATGGCGATGGTGGGTGTTGATGGTAATCATGACGATGGTGATGATGCCAGAAGTAGGGATGATTACGAAGAAGATGATGATTATGGTAATTACCACGACAGTGATGGTGGTGCTGTTGGAAGTGGTGATGGTGGCAATGACGATAATGGTGGTGGTAATGCAGATGATGGTGGTTATGGTGGTGGTGGTAACGACAACGACTGTGGTGGTGGTGGTGCTGATAGTAGTTGGTGGGTGATTATGGTGGTCGTGGTAATTATGACGATGGTGGTGGTGCTCGTGATAATGCCGATGATACACAAGATGATTGTTTAGTTGGTGGTAATGACGGTGGTGGTGGTAATGATGATGGTGTTGTTGGTGGTGGTTGCTGTTTCCTATGCTAGCTATTCAAGCCACTATCTGACCCATCCATCCACCTTATTTTTTTTACTAAACAACGGGGCTGCGTGATGATGCACATTTGATGATCCACCTTAGGTGTCTTTAGTTCCATAGCCCTATGTGAAGGACACGCAACACCACCAATGTGACGTTCACATTTCTATCCTACTCGTACCAAACCACAACCACAGATTGAAAACTAATTTCTTTAGAATTGCTTTTTTGTGTCTTAGTCTGTTGTCCACCCTCGCAACCCCGATCAGCAGAGTTGGCTACGTACGGTGCGAAATAAGTTCAACAGGATGTAGTGGTGGGGACAGTTTTGGTTTTTAAAACATTACA